CCTGCTCTACCAAACTCAGACATTGACCCGAACTTACCATGGAACAAAATCATCTCCAAAATGTTTATTACAGAGTGCCAAATATCTCATTTAATTCTTTGACTATTGCTAGCCTGCTTCCCATGACTGTAACAAATGCCTGAGATAAGTCCACTTACCAAGAGCAAGGCTTATTCTGGCTCAGTTTGGGAGGTGCATGGTGAGTTGGTTGGCCCCACTGCTTGGCACCTGTGCAGCACATCATGGCAGGAGCCAGTGGCAGAACAAAACCACTCACCACATAGCTGCAAAGTGAAAGGAAGAGTAAGGTCCTGGAACCCCAGAAATAAATTCTGCCAATATTTTATTCAAGGGCCTGTACCCAGTGACCTGGAGACCTCTCATTAGGCCCCACCTCTTAAAAGTCCCAATAACACAACCCTGGATACCAAGTCTTTAGCCCAGGGATGTTTGAGGATGTTCCATCTCTAGCTGTTGTACTAAAAGTGAAAGACAGGATGATGTCTGGGTGTTGGCTGTACTGATGAGCATGGTAGACACAATGAAATAGGGAGACACAAAGCCCTACACAGATCACAGAACGCTGCAGAGCACTAGCTGTTTCCCCTCGTGATCTTGTGGGGACTGGGAGCTGCCAATCACTCGCTGACACAGTCCCACAGGAACAACAGAAGATTGGCCTAGCCCTAGCCCAGGAACAGATCAAGATTCCAAACTTGAAGTCTGGTTTCTACTGAGTGCATCATCATAAAGAGAAAAAAAAAAATCCTAAGTCAAATCATCATGAATCCAGAACTATCTGATGTAGCTGGAGCAGTAGTTAGCTTCCTGATCAAGAGTCACATCTCCTGGGAGAAAGAAGTTTCGCCTTGCCATCACTGTTTTAAAAGCTGTACTCACTAAACATGTAGCTCAGTGGCAGAACATGTGCTTAGCATGTTCAAGACTCTGGGTTCCAATACATACATTTATACTCCTCGGGGGGAAAAATAGTGTAAAATTTTAAGCCCCACAGAAAACGCCATGATAAACAAATGGTTCAACAATTTGATTTTCTGCTCCCCTAGGAGAAGGGAGATAAGCCAGAATGTTGAGAATGAGTAAATGTCCAAGTGAGCTCACTTCTGCCACCCCGGAACTCTCAGGCCGCTGAGTGCAACTTCAGGAAGTTCCTGCAGACAGGTCCCAGAGCCCAGCGAGTGCTCCTACGGGGACCTCTGAGGAGCCCACCGCGGTGACCCCAGGGCAGGCTCCCACACAAGCACCTGCGTTCCCTCTTCCTCCTTGTTCCTGTCCCTCCTCTTTCTCTAACCCTCTCTCTTTCCATTTTTTAAAGATCTCTTACTGTTTGTATCCGCAGAGACGACATGAAGTAGAATACTATAGTGAAGTTTAGGAATCATATGGAGAAAGGCTGAGGCACTTGAATACTGGGGCCGTTAACATGCTTCTTAGACTTCAAGCGTTCAGGTCACTGTCCCTGTGCGTCACTTGTGGAGAGTCACGGGTTTGGAGATGCTTTCTCTCAGAGGTCTTGAACGATCACTTCCAAATTCTACTTTTTCCCCAAGAGCTTCACAAAAATCAGAGAACAATGGGTTTTCTCCAGCACAGTGGTTCTCAAAGTGTGGTCCAGAGAGGCCCGAGGATCCCGGGATCAGAGGATTCATGAAATCAAAATTACTTTCACGGTGACACTTCAAGGCTAGGTCCCCCTTCTCTTGTCCTGTTTCGATCCTCGTGAACGATCCAGGATTTTGAAGTCTATATTATATTTTGATCCTCTGCATTTTTCCAAAGGCTACATGATGAATAATAATGCATCGGGTTGAGCACCGGATAATCGTCTCACAGATAATGAGATTCCAGCTGTCCTTTTCGAAGGTAAGTGTCAAAGGTATCTGAAAAATGCAAACTCATGTCCTTGTTCACACTAAGTGATTTAGTCAGTGTTTCATCTCTGTGAACCAAAAACCCGACGCAGACAACATAAAGGAGTAAAAGCTTATTTTGGCTCATGGTTTCAGGGGTTCAGCCCATGACTGATGGACTCCACTTTCCTGGCCCAAGGCCAGGCAGATCACCGTGGAGAAAGGGTGAGGAGGGAAAGAAGCACAGTGTGGCAACAAAGATGCAGAGAGGACTTCACTCAACAGGATCAAAGCGTAAACCCCAAAGGCACAGCCCCAGGACCAACTCCTCCAACCACACCCTCCCTGCCTGCAGTGACCACCCCGTTAATCCAATTAATTGGATTAATCCACATTGGTGGATTAATTAATCCAATGTGGATTAATCCAATGATTAGTCTACACCTCTCATAACCTAATCATTTCACCTCTGAGAATTCTTGCATTCTCTCACACATAAACTTTTGGGGGACACCTCACATCTAAACCATAACACTAAACATTTTTTTATTTTGTAAAAAAATCTAGTTATTTTTATAAAAATGGCATTTATATTGACATGTAATGGTTTGTTATTATTTTCAAATAAATGAATGGGAAAATATTCTTAGACTTGTTTGCTTTAATTTCTAAAATAATAAATATCAATAACAAGGTACTTTAAAGGCACGTGTAAATATGTCACAATGAAAATCCTGTTCTGTATAATTAATATACATTAATTTTAAAAAAATTAGCTACGATCAATACAAACAGAACCTCCAGGTGAGCCAGGCCTCCTGCTGGTCTGCCTCCCTGGAATGAATCATCCTTCAGCTCTCTGACTTCTGAGATGTATGGTGAATGACCAGGCTCCCGCAGGGCACACCCTCAAGGACAGGAGCAGGAAGAAGAGACCTGAGTTTCAGTCTGCTCTCGTGGGTTCCATCTTGTAACTGTGGGTCCCGGCTTCTTCCTGTTCTCTCCCGTTTCATCACCATCCTCCCCTCCGGCTGCCCTCCCTGTGGACTTGAAGCTCCGGCACCAGACACAGAGCAACTCCCAACCCTGTGTGAGGTTAGAGTCCCCAAACGCCCTGCCATGCCACAGGGCAGTGGAGAAATGTCACGCAGGGCGGGGTAGAGAGACGGAAGTCACAGACACAGTTACATTGAAAGGCGCGTGGCCCCTCCTCCTCGTCAAATCAGCACACCTTTCACACGCGAGTATCTGAGGTCGTCTCTCTGAAGGTCTGCAATCGCCACAGGGTCACGGAGAGAACTGCATCCACTTAAAGAGGCGGACTGAGATGGTTTTGTGAGCTTAAACTTCTCTCCAAATTCACCACTGGACCTCTTAGTTGCGTATAGCTTTTTGTGCTGCATCTATGCCAAAATAGCATGGTGATGAGGGAGAGAGAGAGAGAGAGAGAGAGAGAGAGAGGTGGGTGGGAAGAAGGCAGAGCCCATGTAGGTTGCCATACCTGGAAGGACATTGACCTAGAAGGACAAGTCATGGAAACTCAGGAAAAAACCTTTGTGGTGCCATCCTGACCATCCAAGCCCAGACAGACAGACAGCTGCTCCCCCCGGGTATACGGAGCGTGTGCCTGTGTTCATCTGCTGTTCCATCACGCCTCCCTTCACTTTCACTTTTCCTTTTTTAGATACCTGTTGAGTGAAGTACCCTCCACGTGACCAGCACTGAACATGTCATGGGAATGTAAGTGTATTTTTTGATCTTGGGGAATGCTTTCCCTCCCTAGGGGAGCATCATATATCACCCCACAACTCAGCAGCTGACATCAACACACTTATATTAAGTCACGGAGCTTCAGAAATCCTGGAGTGACTTAGCTGGGTCTCTGGGGCTCAGGGTCTCATGAGGTCATAGTTCAGAGGTCATGGGTTGTCACCGGTGCAGTCACATGAAGGCTTGACTGGGGCGGGAAGACCTGCTTCCAAGGAACCGCCATGCCACCACGCTTACTGTCATGGCTACGGGAGGCTTCTCCATGGGGCCACTAACGAAGGGACCCCTGGCTTCTCCCAGAACAAGGGATCAGAGAGAGACAGAAGCGTCTGTAATAGCCTGATCTCAGAAACGATCTGTCATCCCTCCTGCCATTTCCTACCGGTTGCAGAGAACAATCCAGAAGGTACCTCACAAGGGCGGAAATCCTTGTGGGATCATCGAGGACCACCACGGAGGCTGACTTCCAGGAGGAATCCATCATCTCCTGTGGCCCAGGGAAAGACAGAATATACAGTCCTCGGGCCATGCAATTAACTATCCTTTATATTTATTTGTTCATTCAATTTTCATGGGAAAAAAAATGTGGGATGAGCAGAAGATGTATTAGCATCACTATTTTGGTGAGAAAAATAAGGCAAAAGAGATCTCTGTCACACCCCACAATGGTGCTGTTGAGCCTGGATTTTCCCCTCTGCCTCCTCATGAGAGAGGAGGAAATAAGAGTCCAGAACAAAGTTGCCTGTGGACGAGAATGAAGCCCGGACAGCAGGAGGGCGACGAGCAGAGGGCTCCGACCACTTGAGAATCCCCCAGGATCCTCCTTGCTGACTTTCAGACCAGCAGTTATCAACCGGTGCCCCTTCTTCTTCCTACCCAGAACAAGACGTCCTGCCGCTAAAATTAAATCATGTCGAATTTTTCATCGGTTCATACAGACACAAATGTTAGAGAACACTCTCTCAATTTTAAACTTTTGTTCCCTGATTTTTTCTCAAACTTAGGGGAGCTGATGGAAAGTCAAATGAATGAAGAACGACGACAAATGGAGAAGCCCAGACACCACCAGCTCGACAGCTTAATGCCTTGCAGTATTTGGAATGTCTTTTCACATGCACTTGAGGTCATTTCATATTACACAAATTGATTTTCCTAATTTTCCCCAAGTCGTGTGTTTTGTTAAATGAACTGGCATTTCCGTCCATCGGCTTTCCAAGAAGCCTTGTGGTTATCAGCAGGTTGCCCTCCTGAGCAGCATCAAGATCTCTGACATGAGACTCATTCTAACTCACCACCTCTCCTGGTCACCGGAGGGATGAATCTGGACCAGGGAGGGAAAAACGTTAATGTTCTGCCCCGGAAGTTACAGATTTAGGGAAATGTCTACCTAGAGTAGCATCCCGTCAGTTTAGTGTCTTGAGGCTGCTCCCATCTTTGTGAGACGTCTGAAAGATACAAGAGTCCTTCCGCACTCCTGGAAATCCTTTCTCGGGCTCTCTGATGATGTCATGTGTGAACCTGACATTGCAACCAATTAGCATTAGCATCATTAGCAACCAAAGCGAGGCTGTCAGCCTCTCCAGGTAAGAATCCTGCCTCCTTGGCCTCCCACACAGTACCTGACACAGAGCACCTGGCATGGAGAGGAGGAAAATAATTCTCTGTTGGATATAGAGTTGATCTAAAAAGGCCAATCCTATTCCCAGAGCTTTCCCATTACAGCCTCTCTCAGCCAGAGTTCCAAAGAAGAGTTAGCCTGCAGAGACTTGAGTATTTTCTAATATTTACTAAGAATGCTTCACACCTGGTACCGCTGTAGATGAGGAGGACATGAGCTCATTTATGGGGTATGTTGGTTGCTTCGAGGATGTGGCTTTACTCCATCAGGAATCCTCAGTGAGACGGTTCAACTGGGGTTTCCAAGACACCTTGGTTTACGGCAGAAGAACACAAGTCCAAGGTGGATGAGGCGTGTGTCGACCTAGCTGGGGAGAGACATCGAGCTGTACTTGAGTTCTCTCAGCAGCACAAAAACCTAAATTATATGAGCCTATAAAGTAGAATAACGGTTTCCAGGGACTGGAGGGGTAAAGGGAGTGGACTGCACATGGGCAAGAGGCAACCGGAAGGTTTTAAAATTGGGTTGTGATAATAGTTAAACAACTCGATAAAAACGGCCAACTACAGGGACACAGCCACATCAATGTTCATAGCAGCACAATTCACAATAGCTAAACCGTGGAGCCAACCTAGATGCCCTTCAGTAGCTGAGTGGATAAAAAATGTGGCATATATACACAATGGAATATTACTCAGCAATAAAAGAGAATAAAATCATGGCATTTGCAGGTAAATGGATGGAGTTAGAGAAGATAATACTAAATGAAGTTAGTCAACCCCAAAAAAACAAATGCCGAATGTTTTCTTTGATATAAGGAGGCTGATTCATAGTAGATAGGGAGGGGGAGCATGAGAGGAATAGACAAACTCTAGATAGGGCAGAGGGGAGGGAGGGGAACGGAGGGGGCAGGGGGTAATTAATGATGGTGGAATGTGATGATCTTTACTATCCACAGTACATGTATGAAGACATAAATTGGTGTGAGTATACTATGTATACAACTAGAGATATGAAAAACTGTGCTGTTTATATGTAATAAAAATTGTAATGCATTCTTCTGTCATATATAAATTTAAAAATACAGAAAAAAAAAGAAAAAATAGAATAAAGCTATTTAAAAAAACATGGAAGAGGGAGGCAGAAGAGAGACAGAGGGGAATGTGACTGTGGAGGAAGAGGGTAGAAAGATACAATATTGTTGGCTCTGTAGATGGAGAAAGTGGTTATCTAAAAGTTGGAAAAAGCAAGGAAATGATCGTCCCTAGCGGACCCAGAATATCTTCAGCCCTAATAACACCTTCATCTTAGCTACAAAACTATAGAGAATAAGATTGTATTGTTTTAAGCCATTAAATTTGTGGTAATTTGTTATATTAATATTGGAAAACTCATACAATATACTATATAATGTCCTCTATGATTTACATAGTTACCATGTTTATTGTTTATCAATTTTTTCAACTAAAATACATTTAAAAATAAATAACATATTGACCTAGTTCAAAATATTAAATTATTTTACAAAGGTATAAAATAATAACAATAATGATAACGATAATAATCGCTAAGTTGTAGACTTAAAAGAGCAAATTTTATGATATATAAATCATCCCTCAAAA